AAGCCCACCATAAGCAATTTCGTCTTTTTTTTACTGATCCAATAAACGTATCTAGAAATTTATGTTACCATTATTTCAGATACATAATAAACTTAAGTATCTAAAGTTATTTTCTTAATGGCTACTCAAGTTTTAATGGAAATATGCTTTTTATAAACTGCTATAGAGTGGGTCTTTTGCCCCATTGCTGGGGCAAAACGCCCCTACCCTAGGCCTTTTACCCCAAACGTTAATAGCTTGAAATATTTCTTTTTTACAATAAAAATTTATTGCAACAATACACTTTTTACTAGTCACAATATATTTGTGTGTAAAAATGTCCAACAAAAGTTTTAGTAGAACACTTCGCACCATAATATTAGCAAGTAGCACCATATATGCTATCATATGACAATGGCAAACAGCACCGTAAAATTAATAGAGCTAAAAAGAGCTAAAAATTTATAGATAAAAAAGATAGCTATAAAAAACTAGTTTATAGAGCTGAAAAACACAGCTAAAAGCTAATTCATAGAGCTTAAAAGTTGCTAAAAAAAACTAATTCATAGAGCTAAAAAGATATCTAAAAAAATAATTCATAACCCAAAAAGACAGCTAAAAAACTAATTCATACAGCTGAAAAGACAGCTAAAAAACTACAGTAAGACTAGTTGAATTGATTATGCCTATTGGCAGTGAAAGCAGACAGCAGTGTCATCAGGACCACAGCCGTCGTGGTACCAGTTGAGACATTCTGGGCATTGCTGCCAGTCATCAATGGGTGGTTCGTTAAATCTTTTACCACACATGCAACATGGCGTATCATCACTGTTAGTAACAGAACCTACACATCTTCGTTCTTTTGACCCTTTTCTTATCACGTTAGCATTCGATGCGTTACTTTTGATTGTCCTTTTTGATTTTGTTCTCGCATATTGCTACCTTTTCCCGGTTTCTTTGTCATCTCCACTTTTCGTTCTCTTGGATTTGTCTGCGATTACATCGATTTTGTCTTCATCATTTTCCTCATTATTATTTTCAACTACTACTTGCTTGTTCTGTTTTGTCTTCTTTGCATTTGCTTCAATTAACATTGCTTTTAAGGACTAGAAGTTATTACAGTTGCTGCTTCGGTTTTTCGTTTGTGACTGCGTACATTCTTTATCCTTGGAATAGGGCTTAGTTCTGATATAATCTGTAATGCTTCGGATAAACCAGGATGATCAGCTTTTTTATCTAGTTGATTTTCATCAGACTCATTGCTATCTCCTGTTGCAATCCTATCAGTCTCCATCACATTACCCGATGCTTCATCATCTACCGCACTGCCGGCTTCATTTGTATTCGTAGGTTCACTTGTTTCGTTTCTAGCTAATAATGCCCTTTCCATCATTTGGATGTGTTTAACGAGATCTTGTTCAATTTCAATAGAAAAAGCATTCACATGATTTCCTAATTTATTGCTCCCAACTTGTCTTACTTTGCCCTGCAAATGCCTTCTCAATGTCTTCCTTGAAACTCCAAAACTGTTTTCAGCTTTACGCAAAGACATACCATTTTTTACTGAATCTAAAGCCCGTTGTAAACCTTCTGCTCCATAACTTCCTCTTTTTATCTTCCTTTTGTAATTTCTAACCATATCTATAAATAAAATAAAGTTAAAATTTGAACATTATACTTAAATAATGCAAGGGGTAAAAAGCTCAGGATGGGCCTTTTGCCACATTAACAAACTGGGCTTTTTGCCCGAAAATGGTCGGAGCAAAAATTGATAAAAACATATTATTCTATGGTACAATGAACGTTATGTAAATAATCAATAAATAATTTGTACGCTTACAATTACATAAACTCATTTAAATAATCAACTAAGTTTAACAATAATCTACAAAAAATTTTTAAAATTACGCAAAAAATCAAAATGTCCTATTGTTATTACCTGTCAAGTCTTCAATATTCTGTTAAAAATTATATTTCTACTAAAAGTTTACCAAAATTCGCTCGCAACACTGTTACACATTTATCATTCATACTACAAAACAATAAATATAATATTTTACCTAGGTTCTTTATAACTGCAGGATGGGCCTTTTACCCCACCTGGGCCTCTTGCCCCACCCTACCCTATATATATATATATATATATATATATATATATATATATATATATATATATATATATATATATATATATATATATATATATATATATATATATATATATATATATATATATATATATATATGTATATATATATATATATATATATATATATATATATATATATATATATATATATATATATATATATATATATATATATATATATATATATATATATATATATATATATATATAAATATCAAACGATCTAAGTTCAATATAATAAACATAATATAATGAACTTAGATCGTTGATTTTAATCGATTAACACAAATATTTTGCTCGTGTACATTGAAAAGCAACAAAAAAACACTTTCGAAGTCTTAAATAATGAAATATACAAAAAATTACTTCATGGTCATCTGATTAGGAATTTTGTAGTGTGGTTATCTTTAGTTTTAATGGACTTTTTTTTTTAATTACTTTTAAAAAGCAATACCTTTTAAAGATTTGGAATATTTGAAACGATTCGAATTAATCAAAGTCAACTTACACTTAGTTTTAATGTATAAACCAAAAATGGGATCTCCAAAAAAGTTTTAGTTCTATTTTAAAAAAGTAGTTCATTAATTAATAACAACTACATTGTCCCGAAATATAATCCAAAGCAGTTACATATTCAATTTAATACTGTAGAGCTTATTAGCAAAATTTATGTAGGAAAATTTTCCTAAAATTGCAAATACGAAAGAAGTTATAATCAAACATTTTAAAAACAAATCAAAACAGTTTTTTATATTTGAGGATTTTAACATATCCGACTTTAAATGCTTCTATTAAACTTAAACTCAATTATATAAAATATGTTTTAGATTTTATTATACTTTTTTCATTAATTCATGTATGGTGTTTCCTTTAATCTTAAAAGTTACTGTTGAAATCTAATCATAGTTTTAGAATGTATCAACTTTTTTTTAGTTATTGTGTTTTCTCTAATCTTAAAAGTTGTTAAAATCTAATCATAATTTTAAAAGTTTTATTGAAAAAAAAAGAGAAAAAACTCAATTATTCTTTGTTTTACTTTTATACAAACTTGTTGATTTTAAAATTAAATTATTATATTATAACATCAGTTTGTATAAAATTAAAATAAATAATAAAGTAATACATTTTTTTTCAATTAAGTTCGTTTTTATTTATACTCTCGTTTTTTATTTAAATTTTACTTCTTTACAAACTGTTTCATATTTTATTCTTATATTTTTTAATAATTAAGTTGTAAAGTATACATATATAGAACACTCTTGCAAATACAAGCTCTTAAATTTATTTTTCTCTTCTTTTTTTTTAGATTTTTTTCTTTACTTGTTTATTACTCTTAATATGAGTATAGTTCTTGAAGTATTTCTTAAACTAATTCTTGTTTTACATTTATAGTTTTAGTAAGTAACTTGTAAAGAATAAATATATTATACGTTTATTGTATACGTACGATTGGGGCTCGGTTATAACGCAAAATGTCCCGTCAGTATTTTTTTTATATATACTTATAAGAGCGATATAAACAAACAAACAAAAACTTGTTGCCTCAAGCAATAAATATATTAACATTTTACCTGTTCAACTAAAAAATCTATTAAGGAGAACAAACTAATCAAAGGTATTCACAGGGCATTCAAAAAATTAACTAGAAATTGACAACTTCAAAATCAGAAAAACCAGAAGCAAAAAAAAAAAAAAGCAATTAGATGCTAAATCGAAAAACTCACAATAAAAGAGACAATATAGCTACTACAACAGAAATAAATTAACAAGACTTTCTTGCAGCTCACTCATTTCGCCAAACAAGATAGTTTTTATTAGTTTCTTTAATATTTTAAGTAACTTTTTTAATGTTCATGAAATTTTTAAAGCGGATTCTCGGATCTAATACGGAAAAGGACAAAGTTTTGAAGTATGATATTCTTCTTAGGAGATAAAATATAGGACACACTTGCAAAAAATTTAGAAAAGAAGACGCATTACACATAAGGAAAACACTCGTTTGAAAAGAGTATTCAGTACTCTACTGTGATTAATAATATTGCTGTTTTTTAACAATACAGTTGGACAGACTTGCTTTTGTTCAAAAGACACTTAAGAAAGATTATTGGAATTTAAATCATTAATTTAGGAATAATTGACTAAAACAAAATTAAATTTTTCTTTTCCAACAGTAGAAATTAGAAAAAGCAATTGCTAGTATTTTTTGGGATAAAATAACAACCAAATTGCAAGGAGAAAATTAATTACCTGGTTTTTATACTCTTTAAGAGCTTGCAAACCAAGTTGGATGAAGTTAAAGTTATAACTAAAATTGCTTTTTCTCTACTAAAAGTTTAATATTAATGGCTTATAATAAAGAAAAATAATTCGTGTAATTTTGTTCCAGATCAACTCTTAAACAAGGGAAATCTAGAAGTAACTACTAAACTAACTTGAGGTTTGCAAAATGATACACGTTTTTCTTGATGAAAACGCGTGCCGGTCGGCCATACTTCTGTATAATGCAAAAATGTTTTTGTTCAAACTTTTACCGTTAAACTTGAGAGATTTGTTTATTTTGCAATTTTTTGTGAAAATTTCAAAAATTGTTTTACCGGCACAGATATTATTAAAACTGTCTTACCGGCGCAAATATTTTGTTTATATTACCAGCTATTTATGGAAGAATGATTAAATGAGTCTGTTCTATTGTTTTTATCAGAAATGTCCAGCAATTTTATAGTAGCAACTTTCTTTTTGTATTATTAGCTTTTGTATTATTAGCTATATTTATTGCATTTTTGCTTTTTAATTTTAAAAGTTTTGAAAAGATTTAAGTAACTTAATTGACAGCGATTTTTAACTTATTTGATTGCAAATCGCATTATTTTAGAGCTGCTCTTTGGACTATAATGTGGATTCACCAAATGTTTATTCGTGCTGGTTTAATTACGGGCTACACAACTGTAAATATTTTTATAAACAACTCTGTTGGATCAGACCTATTGGGAGTTGCAAACGGTGTTGGACTCTCGTTAGCTTGTATTGGAAGGTATGCTTTAACTATAATTTTATATGCACACTAAGTGTCTTGTTTACAATATTTTTACAAAATATATTTTGCGCTACAATATCCAAGATTTTATATTTGCACATCTTTTATTATAGAACTTTGTATAAATAAAAGTTGTACAAATAGTAAAACTTAAACTGTCATAAATTAAAGCGTCTAACATAATAATCTTATTCAATGCAATATTATTTCTAAATGTTTAAGATTAGAAATTGATTTCTCAAATGATGTGTTTATTTTTGGAATTGATAATATGGTTCGAGCAACTAATAGTTGTTATCGCTAAATCGCTATCAGACTAAAAAACTATTTTAGTATCATCTAATATATTCAAATTATCATGTAACTCTACGGTAAGGTTAATAAATATTCTGTACAACAAAATTAGAGATGGCACTTGGCGTAAAATATTTGCCGTTATAATATAGACAAGATAAGCTTTGGTATCTAATATTTAAGGTTTAGTGTTCTTTTATTTGCTTAAAACTCTAGATGTGAAAAACCAACAATATGTTGCAAGTGTCTGGAAAATATGGTCTGGTTTCCTAGTTCTTATATCATTTTGTCATTAACTCCGTAGGGTCTCCAGTACTCTTTATTGTTGTTGAGTAAGGTATTTGAGTCAATAAAGCAGTTACACAAATGCAACATACGTTGTTTAAGCGAGTTATGTTAATTTTATTTTAGAGAAATAAGACATGGATTATAGTTGTTTTAGTTCATATATTTCAATAACGATATTATAAAGCAAGGGTTGAATTAACGCATAGCGATTTGCGATATCTGTTAAATTATCTGGTCTTCAAACTTTCAGTTTATGGAAAACCACGAAATTTACGGAATAGGCGAATAAACTTTAATTTGTAAGTGAAAATGTTATGAAAAACAAAACAATAAATTTATGACTACAAAAGTAATAACACTACAGTGTTGTTACTTTTATAACACTCTTTTAAGTTACATTTATAGTTTCTTGTTTGATCAAACAACACATAATCAAGCTATTATAAATAAAAATGATTTAGTTAAGTAATTCCAAACTTTAATTAAAGTAGCAATGCATCTAGAAAAAATACAATGGATATTTAAACAATGTTAAAAACCTCAGCAACTTTTACGAATACATATTTTTATAAACAGTTTAGCATTTCTAAACATCTTACAAACGGTCCGGAAAAAACGCGCGTTCACTTGTAATGAAAACACTGGTAATTTACTTCTTAGGAGAAATCTATATTAAAAGAGGAGGGTGGCTAAAAACTTAAATTTTGTGTTAATATTTAATCAATTAAATCATAATAAAAGTAAAGACAAAAAAATTATATTTCTAAATATACTTCTTTATAACTAAAGTTTATTAAATTGAATACCTCTGTTTTTAGTTTTAAGTAAATGTCAGTACTACTCTCAGTGGCGAAACTCCTATTTTTAAACTAAACTAATTTTAGGTTGCATGGGCGATATGGGGCTCATTTTAAAAATTGTGCAGGAGGGGGGGGGGATTTTGCTACTGACTACTCTAATGTTTACTTACGAATAAAATTGTAAACATTAAGTTTGCCTTTTTTTAATAGACAGATAAATCATAGTGTTTTATAAAATGATGAATTTATATATATATATATATATATATATATATATATATATATATATATATATATATATATATATATATATATATATATATATATATATATATATATATATATATATATATATATATATATATATATGTGTGTGTGTGTGTGTGTGTGTGTGTGTGTGTGTGTGTGTGTGTGTGTGTGTGTGTGTGTGTGTGTGTGTGTGTGTGTGTGTGTATACACTTGTTATTTTGCAACATTAAAAAAAACTTGAAAAAAAAACATGGTACTAGCAGCTAGATAAACAATTTTATGAAAACATACATAAAGAGCCTTAAAAAAGATATAAACGATATAAAAACGAAACTATAAACGACAAGGAAAAAGTAGGGCGCAAATTTTTCTCTGTTGTCCTTTAAAAAGTAGTATCAAAAAATATTTTTGCTCCAAAAGAATTTGAATTGGTTTAAAATTTTTTTTTTTTTTCTTCATAAATTTTATATATTAGGAATTATTTAATAAGTTAGCAAAGACAATTCCCCAAATAAATTTTCCAAATTTTATACATATTTACATATTTGCGTTATTTAAAAACTGCATTTTCCAACTTTTTATCATTGTTTTTTTGCAAAAACTTTACTTAAAGTGATTTTTTATATTGAGTGCATTTTTTTTAATTTAGTTTAAATATATTAGAGGTTCCCGATTTATCTATTTAAAAAAACGTTTATGTTGAAATAGATTTCTTTGGTTTTACTCAGCTTTTAGCCCTCTGAATCGGAGGTCCTAAATTATGGAACCCTTTAATTAATAAGGATCTGAATAATCGTTATTGTCTTTCTCTATTAATATAACTTTTAAATAATACCTTATTATTTTAAATCAAAAATCTTATCAAAAAATGTTATTTACAAATACATTGTTTCCTCACAAAACTTGATTAAGAATTCATCTGGGAGTTTAAGAAGTAAGGTATCAGATTTAAAGGTTTTTGTGAACAAACATTTTTTTGCTGGATTGTTATTTAAGTAAAATTTATTAGCTTTAAACTAGTCATTGATATTTACTAGTTTAGTCAGAACCAGCCCAAGCAACGGGCGGACCGGGCATTATAAAAATAGAGGGTGCATTATTTTTATGTGTTTCAATTAATGAAACACATAAAAATAAAAAACAGATATCTGAAATTAATTCTTTTTTTCAAAAAAGAATTAATTTCAGAATGATCGTTTATTAAAAATTTATGCACAACTTATTTTTGTAATAAACTGATTAATTTAAGAATCCATCATTGTGTGCAAATAAACCATTGGGTGCAGCAAACCTAAAAAGACAATTTGAATTTAAACGAGGAAATAAAAATTCTACAAATTGTTTTACAAAATATTTTCAAGTAGAGTCCAAGCAAAGTGAAGAAATTGGTTGCCCTTTTTCATTACTTCGTAGTAATTCTTTTTTAGACAAGAAAATGGAAGAAACGCCTGAAGAAAGTAAACAACTCGAAACAACATCTCGGTCTGCTAGTTCTACCATTACTGGTGACGTTTAAATTGATATAAATGATCCTGCACTATGGCCAGTTCCCCTTTATTCTAAAATATGTAATCACATAATTTATGTAGGAACTGATGTACATTCTCACCTTACAAATGTTATTGAATTTCCACGAGATCATAACAATCCTTGTTTTTCGAAAATCATTAATCTACAGAAAATTAAATAACAGTGAATCTTATGTGCCAACCTGGTTACTATATTCATCAAGTTTTGTATTTGTTGTAAACTTTATTATAAAACAAAATCATCATTAGCCACTATTAGAATCAAAAACTGGAAACACATTACTGAATATATAAAATTGCGTGAAAATTCACCCGAGCGTTTGAAGTGTTTTGGTAATTGGTTTGAAGCTAGTCGTAGGCTTAAAACAAATAAAACTATTGATAAAAATTTACAATCTTTAATTATTAGAGTAAGAGATCACTGGTGCCTTGTGTTAGATCGCATATAAAACAATTTTGTACCTATCAAAAAATAACTTACCTTTTTGTGGTTCTTCAGACAGATTATTTACTTCTAAAAATGGAAATTATTTGAGTTTAGTGGAGCTGTTGACCAAATACGGCGCATCTTTAAACGAGCATCTACGACGCATTACATTTAAAGATATTCATGCAACTTATTGCAGAAAAACAATTCAAAAGGAGTTAATTTCTTTATTGGCATCCGGAATTAAAGATCATATTTTAGGACAAGCTAAAGATGCAAAATATTTTAGTATAATTCTAGACTGCATCCTATGCCAGCCATACTGAACAACTCTTCTTTACATTAAGGTTTGTTGATATTTCAAGCGATGAGAAAGAGATTAAAGAACATTTTTTTAAATTATCAAACTGTAAATCTAAAAAAATCTTAATGTTAATTTAATAAACTGTAAAGGGCAAGGATATGACAATGGTGCAAATATGAAGGATAAAAATAAAGGCGTACAAGTTCTAGTTTGCAAAATAAATCCAAGAGCTCTTTTATGCCTTGTAGATATCACTCTCTAAATTTAGTTATAATCAACTGTGCAACATCTTGTACTTAATCTACATCACTTTTTGGAATTTTCCAACAATTATTTACACTGTTTTCAGCTTCAGTATTGAGACAGAACATACTAAAAGATCATGTATCCAATTTTACAGTTAAACCTCTTTGTTAAACTCGATGGGAAAGTCGAATTGAATGTTTAAAACCAATGCGGAACCAAATAGTGGAAATATACGATGCTTTAGGGGCTTTAGGTAAAACAGACTCTTCTGATATTTCCATTAAACACGAAGCTTATACATTTTCTTTACAGATTTTTATTTTTTGGTAATGCTTGTTACCTGATACAATATTTTATACATGTAAGTATTATGGCAAATCTATGCAATCTGCAGCCATGGATATAGCCTCAGTAGTTTTACCTTTGAAATCTTGTACAGATTTTGTGACAGAATATGAATGGCAGTGTCGAATGTTTTCGATGGATCTACAAAAACTCCCAATTTATAGTTGTTGTCATCAAATTCTTTTAAAATACTGTAAGTCAAATCAACTATTGCATGCTCAGTCAAATGATGTTTTCTACATCCAAATTGCTTAAGATATAAAATATTTATTTTTTTGAGATAATTGTACATTATATTATCCATTACACCCTCAAGTAACTATAAAAAACAGGAAAGTATTGAGATAAGCCTGTATTTGATTACTATTGATTCATCGCCTTTTTATATAAATTAAAGTTATTTTGACAAATTTTATTCGATCAGAAAAGACTCCATTTTTTAAGGAGAGAATATATAACAAAAATTGGTGAATTTTTAATATCATAAATTGCTTTCACAGCATTCGCGTTTACATTATCAAGCATAATAATCTTTTTATAAACATTACG